ACCAACGATACAAAACACACCCGAGCCCCTCGGGACCCTATTCAATCATACCAAAAAGTCTTAAAACACTATACGAACTTATTCGAAGCTTCAAATCATATCAAACAACATAAAAACCACGAATCACACCTCAAATCAAACTTTTGAACTTTCAACTTCTAAAACTCGTGCCGAACCATATCAAATCAAATCGGAATGACCTCAAATTTTGCATGCATGTTTCAAATGACATAACGAAGCTATTTTAGATCCCGACACAAAAATTCGAATCCGATATCACCAAAGTCAACTTCGGTCAAACTTATAAACATTGCAAAACCCCAAATTGCCAACTTTCGCCAATTAACGCTAGAACCTTCAAGAAACATCCAAATGCAAATTCGGGAATATGCCCAAGTCCAAAATCACCATCCCGACCTAACAGAACTATATCAAAACTCCGATCCGGGGTCAAATACACAAAAGTCAAACTTGGTCAACTCTTCCAACTTAAAGCTTTCTTGTTGAGAATTATTCTTCCAAATCAACTCCGGATCACTTGAAAACAAAAATTGACGATTCACACAAGTCATATTACATCATACGAAGCTACTCATGCCCTCAAACCATCAGCGCAGTGTAAATGCTTAAAACGACCGATCAAATTGTTACACATATACAGGCTATTCAATCTATTTACGACATCAATTTTCATCAAAATAAGTCGGAAAGTGTAACCTGCATGCTAAGGCCTAACAGATGATCCCGCTCGGAGGCGAGTTCTTACTTATCGAGGATCAATTTCTGCAAGCCCTCGGAAGCTAGAAAGTTGGCCTGTTAAAAAGAATATCAAGACTAGAAATCCCATTATCACAGATAAGTAGAAAATAAGTGTTAAGAAAGCAATTACGGTATTGTTGCCGCATTGTGCATAGCACTGTTCAATAAGCACTCCCTCGAAAGGGAGCGTACTTTCTTCATATCTTTGTTTGCAAGTTCCACCGGCTTGGACAGGAGATGGCACTCCTTCGAAACCGAAAGAGTAGCAGTCCTCCTCCCTTGAGGATATGGGGAAGGGGGGTGAGTAATCTTTTCACGGAGGAAGGAAATAAATCAAAAACTTACGAAAACGGTTTCACAATTCATTAAAAGGTAGAGCTATAGTCGGGATGATGTCAGTGGTGGTGATGTTGACAAATCGCTCCATCTATCCGCGATCATTGTCATTGTCCACGCTGGTGAGAAAAGTGTGGTGGCCATGTTTCCTAAAGTTTATTACTCCCCCACGAAAACTTTTGGGGGAGTAGAAATCATCATGTGTGCAAGGGTGAGGGCTTCCCTAGTCTCCGTGCATAGCTGGCATAGGAAAGCCACCGTTCGCCATATAGGCAGGCCTACTTGTGCCACGCAGACCCGGTGTCGGTGGTAAAACTCCAAAATTACGGGTTTGAGCCATTCACTCGTCCCCAAGAAGAAACAGACCCAAGGTAAAGGGATACGTATAGACATACGTAAAACCCTCCTTGGTGAAGGTAACTTGCTTTATCATATCCGGAGCGAGGATGTTGAGATTAGGGCAATTCCAGTCCTTCTTCACCGTAGGGATACTAGAAGGGCGAATGGAAGAGGGGTACCTACTAAAATTTCAAGTCCGTGAAGATGCAGCAGGGGCCTTCTCTTGGAAGTCGTTAGCGGTACTAAGGTGTTTTGGTATGATGGTATTTGCGGTGGGAGGCTCAGAATCACAATCAGCATCAGCATCTTTTTTTTCTTTGGGCTTCTGCCGAAGAGAAGACCAGAGTTTCAAAAAGATGCAGTAGAAGAAGCCATGGTAGTAAATAAGTAGTAAAAAAAATTAAAAGAGTTAGAGAAGATGAAAGTTTTCTAAGGAGGTAAAAGATGAGTGTTGAGAAGAAGATATTGGAAATGAAAGAAGTAAAATGATGAGTAGAAGTAAAGATATAGACGGCAAAAATCATGGTCATGATTACCTCGAAAATCGGCAAAAATATTTGACTGAATCGTGGGGCAACACGTGTTCGGGGTATTAAATGTGAGAAGACGTGCGTCCTTTCAAGCGTCAAAAACTATTCAGAAACTTTCCCGCCAAGAATGGATCTTCACCAGCTTCCCGATGACATAATGATGTGTCATCGGAAAGCAGAGGGACTATCTGTAAAGGTAAAATTGATTCATAATAAATGGTTGAATGATAGCATGATACGTGGAACCAAAGACAGGCAAAAGGCGAACCAAGTAACAATCAGTACTGGGAACAATATTTGTAATTGACATGGGGTAAACCCCGAAGAGAGCATGTTCAACGGAAGCAGATCGAATATTTGCCATCGGATAACATTCATTGAAGAATATTTCTAACATTAAATGGGCAGGCGTTGCAAATAATATTTTCATTCATGGCCTGTCGTTACATATTCATCAATGGCTCCTTTATTATCATATAAGTGGGGCTTGATCCTAGGATCTTGTTTCCGCATGAATAGCTATAAATAGAAGGCTCAACAGCCATTGTCGGACATGAAAATTCTTGGCAGAACATATGTTGTATTCCATTTTCGCTCTCAGTTAAACAACTTTATTTCTTTTATATTGCTTTCTCTGTCCTCGGAAACATTACGCTCAGAGCCATGCTCGCCATCTTTTTCAATTTCAACTGCTAAGTCTTAGTTTTTATCTTATTTATCATTTTTGGGATCAAATCAGTTTGCTTGTCTATAAATCACGTAACAAATTTAACTGTACCGTTTTACGGATAAACAAGTTTTGTGTAGTAACGTAATACTCTGTGCATCTTTATTGTTGTTGGTTGTAAATTTTGCGGGACTCACCATTTAGAAGGCTGGAAATGAGACATGAGGGTAGTGTTGACACTAGATTTTAGCAGAAAATAATGAAATCAAACAGACAAATATAAACGTGCATGATTCTGTGGGTGTAAACGGCTTGAACGGAAGATAGCAAAAGTCATAGCAAAAAGGTGTAAATTTTGTTTGTAATCGTCTTTATTTCTTGTAAAATAAATTCAGCAAGAACTTATTTTTCATAATCTTTGTCAAACCGAATACCAAATAAGCTTTAACCAAAAGAAAGGAGGAAATGTTTAGTGAAGAAACCATTAATTGATCAGTCTATCGATCGAGCTTGCCATGGCAATTGGCAAATAGAAGAAAAGCGAAAAAAACTGCTCTTTCTTCTTCTTTTGTTTTAAATTATTTTTGAATTTAACTTTTGTGAGTTGATATTTTGAAAAAAATTACACCATAACATCATCTAAAAGGTAATTATAAGCGATGGTTAATGAATCTAATCTTAAAAATAATCCATACTACCGAACACACGAATAATCTGGCGCTATAAAGTTTTTTTTTTTTTTTTTTTTTTTTTTTTTTTTTTTTTTTTACGATGTCCCTGTCTATGCATATAAGTAAATTCATACTCCTCCTGTTCCAATCATGTGACATACTTTCTCCTACTATTCCATTTTAAAAAAGTGACAAATTTTAATATTTATAAATAATTTTAAGCTTTTTATTTTTTCCATCTAATTTAATGAGTCATACAAATATTATGGAATATTTATGATTATAATTTTTTTATAACTATACTGGCATTATAACATATTTTAAACTAAAAGTTCTAAAATATTTTACTTTATTTTAAATATGGTGCCATATCAAAGTACTCCATCCATTCCAGTTTATGTGAACCTATTTCCTTTTTGATCAGTTCCAAAAATAATGAATCCTTTCTAAATTTGGAAACAATTTATTCCATCTGGTTCACAATAACACTCTGTTTGGATCATTTTTTCCCGTCATTTTATAATGTATTGTATCGTATTGTATCGTATTGTATCGTATCGTTATATAAATACAATGTTTGGATAGATTGTATCGTTTGTTATTGTTAAATAATATTTTGCTGTTTGGTTTGACTGTATCGTACTGTACTGTAACTGATAAGTTGACTAAAGTACCCTCAATTTAAATATTAAATTTATTAAAAATTATGCATAAAATAATTTTAAAGAATAAAACAGAAGAAGGCAAAACACCTTAAGAAAGCATAACAAAGGAGCGAGACAGAAGAAGGCAAAACAAAAGAGCACAACTAATTAGAATTGAGTTAAAAGCAAATTAGGAGAAAAAATAAAACAAAAGGCGGCAAAACACCTTTAACGTTGGTGGCAGAAGTTTTGGAAAAAAATAAAGTAGGTTATAGGTTAGAGATTTGGAGTTAAAATAGAAAAAAAGGTAGAGGGTAAAATAGAATTGTGGAGTAATAAGTTAGGGCATAATTGAAAAGAAAAATAGGAAACAATTCCACCACACCAAATCGGTTGTTTCAAAAAAGGGGACTTTCCATTGTTCCGGAACAATGGATTTAACAATACAATGCAACCAATTTTAATGAAACAATCAAAACAAACATTGTTTTGGAATAACAATGCAATACGATACAACGAGGAACAACCATCCAAACAAGCTGTAAGTGACCAATTTGCTTTTTTATTTTGGTCCAAAATAAGTGTCCATTTATATAATCAAGAAAGAATTCAATTTGTTTTTAGAAAATTACCCTTATGTACATATCCCTAAAAAGTTTTCTTACTCCTCACATTAAATATTTAATTAAGGGTAGTTTAGTCATACTAGGTAATTTTGTATAGAATTTAGTATTTTCTTAATGGACGTGCCAAAATCAAATTGGTCATTTATTGTGGACCAGAGGGAGTAGCTTAAACTTACAATTCTACCATTATGAGAAACTTTTATAACCATGCACACAAATACTCTGACACCCTTTTTGACTTGTTTATGACCACAAATTTTAAAAGTCATCATTATTTCTTAAATAACGTGCCCAATCATACATGTTCTCATAAATTGGAAGGGAGGAAGTACTTATATATTTTAGACAGTGTCGATAAATTCAAAATGTAGACAGCTTGGAAGTTGCGGAATTTAACTTTTATGCAGTTAACCCTAGGAGTCTCCCGGAGTTTGCGGGTAGTGAAAGATACCTTGTGACTGTCCCACTTAGACTTGATTAATTTCCATAAATTATTCTTAACAAGGTAGGTGGCTCAAAGCGAGCTTCTTCCCAGTGATAATGGAGACGTATTTGCATTACTTTATTCTTTTTCTTGGCTTAATTTCTATTTCCAAATCCGTTCTAAGCTTTTCCATATGGGTATGGGGAAGCTTCTTCAGACCATCTAAGAATTTGAAAGAATACGGTTCATGGGCTCTGATTACTGGCTCCACCGACGGAATAGGCAAAGCCCTCGCATTTGAATTGGCAAATAAAGGTCTAAATCTCATTTTAGTTGGAAGAAACCCTTCAAAACTTGAGGAAACTGCTAATGCAATCCATGAAAGATATAGAGGAAAAATGTTCATTAAAACTGTTGTTATAGATTTTGCAAAGTGTCCACCAGAAGAAATTGTAAAGAAAATAGAAGAAACTGTTGATGGTGTTGATGTTGGAATATTGATTAATAATGCTGGATTGGCATATCCTTATGCGAGATTTATGCATGAGGTTGATTTGGAGTTGATGATGTGTTTGATGAAGGTGAATATGGAGGGGTTAACGTGGGTGACAAAGTCGATTATTCCGAGGATGTTGGAGAAGAAAAAGGGTGCTATTGTCAACATAGGATCAGGCTCCTCCGCAACTGTCTCATCCTATCCTCTCTACTCCATCTATGCCGCCACCAAAGCGTAAGAATCTTCTGAATTTTCCAGACTTGAAATTAATGACTTGGATTTAAATTAAAAAAAGTATAAAATTAAGAAATTATTCTACTGGCGCTTTTCAGTTTTTACATCTATTAAAAGAGAGTTCTCTAATTGTGTTTGGTTGAACCTTTAAAAAAAATTGAAATAGTTTTTCTAAAAATGTTTTCTAGTAGAGCCGTCAAATGGGCTTGGCCTGTGAGGCCAGTCCAACCCAACTCGCTTCTTGGTTAGGGTTGGGCTAGGATTTTTTGATCCCATTTAAAACTGAGGCTTATAAGCCCGACCCAAATCAGCCCGGTGGCCCTTGAGGCTTGACCGAGGCTGGGCTTGGGCCAGCCCATGGGCCAAAAATTAATTAACTATCAAATATTTAATATTTAAGAAACTAAAAACTAAAAAAATTATTAACTATAATCCTCATTCCCAACTCTAGATTGCTCATTTACCTTCAATATCAACTAGAATTTATATTTTTGAGATGCATGTAATATGACAAAATTAGTTTTTATTTTGCTTGATGAATAATGAACATGAAAGGTTTTAGGTGGCCACTGATAATCTTTTTTCAAAAGAAAATATTACTTTAAGTGGCCAACGATTAGTTTGGATTACTTTAACATATTATTAATATTTAAGCTACTCTTCAGATGGAAAAAAATCAATTTTAAATACACACACAAATAAATTAACCACTAGCAAATTTCAGAAATTTTAAAAATTTCATGGACTATAATGATGAAATCAGCAAATGATGTTAATCTTAAACTAAAAAAACCTCAGCATATAAACTTATTGAAGCAATCCCCGAATCTAAGGAAAATGAAAGAAAAGTATTAAGATAATATTCATGTAACTTTAAAAAATAATATTTAGAGATATAGAGAATTTACATTTCAATTACAAGATTCCTCTCAAATATCAAGCTTTTTTTACGCTATATGCACACAAAAGTTGTTTACCTGATTAATCGACTATGTCACGAAAAAATATTTAAGGATTTAAAGAAATTCTTTTTTCTAAAAAAAGTTGTAGTGCCGACCCGCCCTAGCCCGCAGCCTTCTTAGGGCTGGGTTGGGGCCATTTTAAGGCCCATTCATATGGCGGGCCGGCCCGTCCTAACCTATCAAATTTTAAAAGCCCACGAGACTTGGGCAAGACTGGGCTGGGTTGGGCTGGCCCGTTTTGACTGCTCTATTTTCTAGGCTGTATTTATGTGAAATGTTTTTTTATTTTTTATTTTCTGCTCGTAAGATATTTACTCCTACGATTTTTTTTTTTTTTTTACCAAAATAATGTAACACTACTCAAACAATTTTTTAAGTATCTTTTTAAGCCACGATTTTTTAATTTCTGGTATAAAGTTTTTTTTATCCAAGAAAATATTGTGTAAGTCTACCTTACGGAAGAGTTCTAATTTCATCCTTTGATGGTACGAAAAAGAATCTTTCATGTACTTCGACCGGTTTCGACTATCTGTGGTGTCTGGACTGGTCTGTGCATACCTCGAATAATTTTGTAGGCACTCAAATTGATCATCTTTTCTAATTACCAACCAATTTTTGATGTAGACACGAGTTTTAAATGATCTGATAGATACTTTTCACCTGCTGTGGACAAAACATAGTCTCTTTTTACATTTCAGTTCTAGGATAGGAAACGAGACAATTACGAATTTAGGGAGTTGGATTGGAATAGGTTTGGTTCTTCTTTATAATGCAAATATAGTTGTATTTCACCTTAAAACTGGGAATTGAAGTTGACACTTGTGATTTTATTCTTATTCGAATGAAATTGAATTCATCATAGTTGTATTTATTTGTGTTGTTTGCTTATCCCTTCGAGTTTGACGCCTCCACTAATACATAGCACCCCTTGGTTACATTTTTTAAGTGTCCTATATTGGTGGATACAAATAGGCATATGAGTAATCGAAACTTTGTAGCTATACTGTATTTTTCTCATCATACAACCATCCAGAAATTAAAAGCTTAATGGGGTGACAAATTAAAATGAAGTCTAAGCTCCAAATGCAGGTACGTACAGATGTTGTCAAAATCCCTGAGTGTTGAATACAAGCAACAAGGAATCGATGTTCAGTGTCAGGTAGGTTCTTTGTTACTCAATGTATAATCGTAAAAGGCAATATATAATGATAGGAAACTTAACGGAGGACTTTAAAATAATTCCAAATGATGCTTTACTTTTCTTGTTAGACCTCTAACTTCGTGTTTACCAACAGCATGTTGCAACTTGATGTTAAGAAACTGAATCATCCAGGATTTACACATGTCATAGCTTTCCTATCCAACCGGTTAATTTTGTTAGAAGGTTTAAGTTTTATGCCACTGAATTGGTAATATTCCGTCTTGCCGGCGGGCGGTCCGACGAGTTTTGTGGCCTAAAGCCAAACTTTTTAAGAGGTCTTAACATTTTTTTTATAAAAAAAATTATTTACTTATTTGAAGTCTATTTTTCTTTAGATACAAAGTTATTAATAATTTTCTTTTAATCAATAACTCCTAATAAGTCTTTCTTAATTGACAATATAGCTATTTAAGCTTTCTTGAGACATTGTTGATCTTAGGTAAGATTTGATCAATTTTAATTTTGAAAACTTCTTTCTGCTGAAGCGCGGTAACAAGAGTTATTAACATTATTCCATAAGCAATATAGGCACCGGAAAAAGAATCAAATATTTTTATTTGACCGAGTGTATCAATTAAACTATTATCTTCTAATTGTACTATTTTCCTTAATACTTTTAATTTCGAAAATAAATCTCCATCAATATCGAATTGATTATTACCATTCAAGATTAAGGCAATATTTTTTCAAATTTTCATCATCTAGTGATCTTAGTTTTTATTGCTAAATGGAAAATCAAAAATATTTTCGTACGCTTCTAATTGTTCATATCTATTTTGAAGTTAAAAAAATAGTCTTATCTACTATATATAAATTAATCAACTCCAGAGGACTCTTCGAAACATTTGAGATTTTATTATCAACATTCTCATCAAGTTGTTACTCCCTATATATCACACGTTCTTAAGAAATTAGGTTCGATATTCATTTCAAGTGCAATTTTCTTGGCAGAAACCATAGCAGTTGCAAATCCCTTTCTCTATACTTGTTAAAGTGAGAAATCAAACTATTCCTCTTCACGAAACCTTTTTTTAAATTTGTACACAGCCTATTAGGTGTAACAAAAAATGGGGCCTCCACAAATGTGGAGCCTAAAGTAGTTGCTTTACTTGCTTTATGGAAGGGCCGCCCCAAACAAAAGGAATTTATCCCTAATTGAAAAATCATATGCTGCGTATTGACTGATGAACATGTTTGTATTTTCTAGATTCCGCTGCTAGTGGCAACAAAGATGACATATATAAAGAAATCTTCTTTGTTCGTTCCATCAGCCGAAACATATAGTAAAGCGAGCATAAGATGGATTGGTTATGGGGAAATTTGCGTGCCTTACTGGCCACATGCTATTCAAGGATTCATCATTCGAGCACTCCCTGAGAAACTGCTGGATCACCTTCTGTTCAAGTATTTTAATGGGATGAGAAAGAGAGGCTTGCACAAGGAGACCAAACTTGCAAAGATGAAGTAAGAAAAGCAGTTGTAACAGAATGAATAAAGTAAAGAATTGCCTTTTAAAGTAATGAGGCAAATACTACTGTATTATACTTATTTGAAATCCTTTAGTAATATTGCCTTGTATCTGCCTTCTGCTTTAAGAATTGCTGGGCATATGTAGGCATTGCTTGTCTAAAAAAGAAAACGAAAAAGAATAAAGAAAATATTGAAAAGAGTAAATCACTGGACTATTATCAAACTTTGCACCAAAGTGGAACAAGTATTCTCTTTGTTGCAACTTTAACTATTTTAATTTCGGAGTTATCCGGAAAGTTAGTAGAATGAGATAAAGTCAGCAACACTAATTTTTTTTTGGCCGATCAACCAAATATGTAACTTGCCGAATTATTTTATACTATCTGATCAAAGACGAAAAGTTTGAAAATGACCTATAATAATTTAATCTGTTTACCTCGTCCAAAAATTAAGGAAAAACGGTAAAATTATCCATAAAAATCAAACTAATTATTCTTGCCTATCCCTTTTTTTTTTCTACCCATCAAATTAAATAAATACTCATCAGTCCTCTATGACACCCACATGGTATATATTATAGAGGTCTGGTTCGTTCCTTTCAGAAATATACTCAGTCGTTTATGATCCCCACATAGTATATATCATAGGGTATCATGGAGATCTAGTTCATTCTTTCAGAAAAATACGCAGTCCTCTATGATACCGACCTGGTATATATCATATACTGATAGGGTATTGATGATAGGCTATAATTACGTATTTTAGTCGCTTATTACACTCTAATTTACTGCACTTTAATTGAGTTTGAGCTTTAATCGCTAGTGTTTTGCACTACGGTGTGTTTTATGCCTTGTAGGAGTGATTCCGATATATATAGATGTTATGGAATGAATTCAAGTGATTTGGAGCTTTGAAGTCTGAGTAAAAGCCCAAGGAATTAAGCCGGGATCGTATTCGGGGATCAACGGATGATAAAGCAACAAAACGAAGACTCGAGTAGGCATATTGCGCACTGTCTAGAAAAATGCACATAACTTTTTTCTCAGAACTCCATCTGGGCTCCACAATATATGGTTGGAAAGCTAACTCAAAGGGCTACAACTTTCATGTTTTACATTTTTTCAAATTCCAGACGGAACAGGGTCAAAAACGCGATCGAAACCGCGACCGCGGAACTGACCGCGGCAGAAAATCAGAGAGCTTGTCTGAACGCGGTCCTACCGCGTTTTGGCCGCGGCCGCGCCGCTCCAGGCGTCAAAAAGAAGTCCTATTTCGTCCGGGACAAGGTTATTTCGTCCCTACACTATTTCAACTTGTATAAAAGGGGTCCTAAACTTATTTTGAAGGAGAGGGGGACATATTTTGGACATATCTTAGACCTAAGGAGGCAAGAACACATTGGGAGCAAGGCGGAATTCTTCAATGAGTTTCTCCTTCTTCTTCCTATTTTTCATTGTTGGTTATGATTTTTAGTATTGTAGTTTTACATACTATTATGAATAGCTAATTTGTTTTCTAGGGTTTTGATGGAACCCGTTGGGGATGATTTGGTTGTTATATTAATATAGTTTTGAATTGGTTGTTTATCTCTATTTGTTCAACTACGTTTTGATTGTGGTTAATTGAAAGGATCCTCAATTAGCCGTTCCTATTTATTATGTATCTGCTTGAGAGAGAGTGCATATTTAGGTAGTTGTTTGAACAACATCACTCCCGGAGTATAGGCGAGAGTCATAACCGAGGGTTTAGAGGTCGGATTAGAGATAACGATACCTCGGGTGCGATCTAAGTGAATTGTAATGCGAATCTAGCTAGCGTAGCTTGAGAGAGTGCGTCTAGTAAATTATCATAATTGCTTGAGAGATATTTATGATAGCTGGAGAGTTCATGATTGATAGAGGCAACTAGGTCAACGCTATAAGAAACATACAACCAAGGAAATCAACAACGGGGGAAACCATTACCTTAGAACTTTATTCTAATTTTTTACAATTCAAGCATAGTTAGTTTTCAGCTGTTTATTTATTTTCAATCTTGTCTTCTTGGTGATATTAAACAGATACAGCTAAGCCTTAGTTCTCTGTGGGATTCGACTCCGGACTTTTAGATCGGATTATATTTGTAGCGACCGCTTATCCTTTTTAGGACTAGAGTTGGGCGTGATCAAATTTTGGCGCCGTTGCCGGGGAACTAACGGTGTAGTTGTAGCTGTATATATTGCTAGGGTTCAAGTTTGAACTTTTATTTTATTTTAATTTTTTTATAACTGTTGATTTGAGAAACATGGCATCTTGGAATTATGGGAATTTAGGTGTATATAATTCTACTATTGATCTCCATACATATTGTGAAGGAAACCACCTGTGGAAAAATTTTCAAAATGTTCCCGAGAGCGAGTTATATGCACCAACTCAATCTTTTTTGTGGAATGTGTGTGATGTGTGTGGTAGTAAAAATGGTCACTTTTATGGTTGTTCTTATATTTCTTATCTTCCCCCAACCCCTTACTATGATGGTTTTACCTTTTCTAGTGAAGTTAATAGGAACAAAGAACCTGGGAATGCGGACCTGAAGGAGATCAAGGATATGCTAAAGTGCCTTCTGGAACAAAATAATGAGAAACAATTGCACATAGAAAGGCAAGAGGCAACTATTCGCAAGTTGGAGGCTCAATTGAGTCAAGTGGTTGGAGCTTTTAATGCTCAACAAGCCAATATTGAGGATAGTAGCCAAGAAGAGCATAAATTTGAGGTGTTAATTGGGGAGGTCAGAGTAGAACATCAACAACCTAGCCAACTAGAATTTGAGGATGTCAATGTTGAAGAAGTAATACTAGAGTCAACCAAGGACGTTGAAGATACAAATTTAGTTGACTCTAGTGTGATTGGTGTTGAGGAGGTTAAAAATCTTGAAGTTCATGTATTTGAGCGCGTTGGGCCTCATTCCAAACACTTCTCTACATTATGTTCAGACGGTGAAATGGAAATTCACCCTTATGAGCATAAAAAGGAGTCCAAGGAAGAGGTAGATGAGCCTTATATTTTGGATTTTTCAAGGCCGTCTAGGCAAGGTGACACTCCTCAGTCGAGAGCCAACAAGTGCATAAGATTTTATATAATTTTTGGCTCGCAAGAATTTGTACCGCCCCAAGAGCATAATCATAAGCTTGAAGCAAAACTTGGGGTTCAATTCATAAGCTCGAGGTGGAGGCAAAAAGTGATTCGCGTAGTGCCGCGACGTTAAATCAAGCGCTTGTTGGGAGGCAACCCAACTTTATTGCTTTCTTTTATTTTTTTTTAATTGTTTTTTAATTGTATTATTTTTGTAGTGTCAATTTTTTATTTTTTTAGGAGAATGGAAAGCAAAGGTATTGGAAGGATGCAACAGCAAACCAAATGGCTGGAACTAAGTGTGAGGTACCCGCACGAAGAACCAAGCTTGGGAGAAGTCTGAGTACCCCATGAGTTGTTTAGTGTTTCGGCCTTTGGCCTACCAGGGAGTCTCTTTTACCCTTCTATTAGTTATGGTGTGCATTGGGGGACAATGCACAATTTTAAGTGTGGGGTGATGAGATTGTCTGGGTGACTTTTCATGCTACTTTAGCTGTATTAGTTTAATTAAATAGTTTTTTTTAAAGATTGGACTTTTCCCGACGATGGATCTATTAGACAATTTTCTTAAGGAATTTAAGTCTAAAGAAAAAATAAAAATTTGTAGGTAGTATAATAATTCCCCCTTGATTTTTCTTTGTGCTACGGTTCTTTTCCAAGAGTTTTATTTGAACCGGGTGTAGTTAGTTTTTTTTAGGAATAGGAGCCATTGTGTTGTGTTTTGAATTGGAGCAATATCTCTTGACTTTGTTATGCCTTGAGAATAGTGAGTACTTTGGTTGTGACGCTTAGGCTCAGTTTTTGACTCTTGTATAAGTACCTTAAATTGTATGATTTTAAATTTGCTTAACTGCTTTGACTAGAGTGTCTTGATGAATCCAATCCTGAGTGATTTATGTGCCATGTGTGTGTGAGGTTTGGTGTTATTCTGTGCATTGCATTTGATGCCTAGAACTTGTCTCGTGTGTTTGCAAAGCGAAATAGTAGTTTTATTCAGTCTAGGAAGTGATATAGGCATTTCTTTGTTAAGCCAGATATGTATATTTTACCCGCCTAATGGTTATGTATCGTAGTTAACCCCTTTGAGCCTGTAATCCTGTTTCTTTGGCAACCACATTACAAGCCTTACCCTTGTTTTAATTAACCATCTATTTGAACCTTTTCACCTCTCATGAGCACTTGAATTGTTATGAACTTTGTAAAAGTTAGAGTGTGGGGTGGTTGGTTTGGCTTTTGAGTAGAACTAATTGAATAAGGAGAAAGGTGCACTGTTTTGAAAAAGGAAGAGCCACTTGAATTGAAAAAAAATATAGTTGGATTGTTGTGAAAAAAAATTCCTTGATAAGTGGTGGCTCTTGACGTAAGTGTGCTTAAAGAAGAATGGGGTAATTTATATTGATGTAAAGGTGAAATTTTGGTTTGACATAAGTATGGGGTTTAAATGTTAAAATGTATGTATTAAAGTGCTTAGGGAGGTGTAGTCACTCTTATATCCAAATATATCCTACCCGTCCCGTAGCCTACATTACAACCAAATAAAGTCCTAATTGATCCTAGATTGAATGAGCTCGATTAGTGGAGTAGTACATTACGGGCAAGCTTATGGTGCATCTTTTGTGGCATATGAATGTTATTTCTGAGAGTGAGTGAATTCTTTTTATCTTGAGTTCCTAAGTGTTCTTAAATTTTATTGTGTGGAACTACTCTCTTTTGTTGTGTGAGGGCACTTGATTCATGAAGGAAAGGTAATGTCAGTGACCTCTATGTTAGAGTAAGTGGGTGAGTTGTGAACAACATGTGGTACTTGTGAGTCAAATCTTGAGGTGAAGATGTTACGCTTTTGTGCTTAGTCTATTTTAAATACTCTTGGTGTGATGAGTTAGGAGAATTGTTTAAAAAGGTCGTGTCTATAAAAAAAGAAGTGTAGTTTGATTGCTCGAGGACAAGCAATGGGTTAAGTGTGGGGTGTTGATGATAGGCTATAATTACGTATTTTAG